AATAGAAAAACATTGCAATAAAAGGAGAAGATTGAGAAGAAATTTTTGAAAAAGAGAAGAAAAAGATAGGTCTTTGGTTTACTATATTACATTGTGTTGGAAAAAGACAATAATTATAACAGTGTGGTAGACAACAAGATTAGACAGAATATAATATAAGAATCAGAAGCAAATCCTCATGTGTACTAAAATTATCATATGTTAAAAGTGAAATTATGAATCAGTGAAAAAAGTGATTATCAATAGATGGGACAAAAGATAATCAATAAATTGTATGAACTACTCATTGTTTTCCAGTATCTACTCTCTTTCTTCCATTTTCTCTATTTGTAATAAGAAACGCTACCTTCTTCTTGCCCTGACTCCTATAGCTGAACACATGGTTGCCCTGTCTATTTTTCTCAGTCTCCATTCTAGCTAGATGGAGTTTTACTTATGGGGCACGAGCAGAAATAAAGTGTTCAACTTTGGGATCATGGTTTCCTAAGGAAGCTATTTTGCCTGCTTTACTCTCTTTCTTCCTCTTTCCATGGGTTGAAAATGATAAGAAAGAGAGTAAACGCCTTAGACCCAGAAACAGAAGCCACACTTTGAGAATGGCAGAACTTCCCTGCTAGCCCTGGCCTATTAGTTTGCAAAGATATGCAGTAACTTGGCCTATGCCCTAATACAGTCAATTAACCAATTTGGCATTTGAAAACAAACAATGGAATTAAATATGAAAAAATAAAACTAGAGTTGACTGGAAGCAAATTAAAATAATTCTTTGATTTGGCGAAGGATTATTAAAGCTAAAGACCACTGAAGAAATCTAAAAGTACAAAACTATCTTCGTTATTCAGTATTGCTGTTACAGATATACCACAAGTCGTTGGCTTTAACAAACAAATTCATTTTCTCATAGTTCAGGAAGCTAGAAGTTCAAATTCAGGGTGCTGGCTCTACAGGAAGGTTCACTCTCTCTCCGTCAGCTCTGGGGGAAGAACCTTTTCAGCTTTGATTCCAATGTTCTCATTTTGAGTCACGCCACATCAGCAAATGAACATCCCAAAAGCTTACTCCATGTACATCATTAAGGTTGACTCTACTTTAAGGAGGCAGCTCTATCCCGGTAATATTTTGAGTCCCTCCCAACCTGAGGGGCTCAGCTTCTGGCACTATATCAGACAATATTCCACTGCTATTCACAAGGTTTTCACTGGCCATTATTTTCCCCCCAGAAATAAATCATCAGGTCCTTCTTCCCAGTCTATCTCAGTCTGAACATCTGTTGAAACTTGCCATTATGGGTGACCCTGCTGGTATTTGAAATACCAGTGGCATAGCTTCCAGCATAACAACAATACACAAGCCACCATAGTACAACAAACTGACAGGGAACACAAAATGAGAAGAAACAGCTGCAAATATCCATTAATAATGAGAACATGGAATGCATAAAGTATGAATCAAAGAAAATGTAAAGTTGTCAAAAATAAAATGCAATGATTGAAGATCAGTGTCCTATGCATTAGTGAGCTGAAATGGACTGTTGTTGTTGTTAGGTGCCGTCAAGTCATCTCTGACTCATAGTGACCCTATGCACAGCAGAACAAAACACTGCCCTGTCTTGTGCCAGCCTCATGATCCTTGCTCTACCTGACCCCATTGTTGCAGCTACTGTGTCTATCCATCTCATTGAGCGACTTCCCCTTCTTTGCTGACCGTCCACTTTACCAAGCATGATGTCCTTCTCCAGGGAATGATTCCTTCTGACAACATGACCAAAGTAGGTGAGACAAAGTCTGGCCATTCTTGCTTCCAAGGAGCATTCTGGCGGCATTTCTTCCAGGACAGATTTGCTAGTCATTTTAGCAGACCATGATACTCTTAGCATTCTTCTCCAACACAACTCAAAAGCATCAACTCTTCTTTGGTCTTCCTTATTCATTGTCCAGCTCTCACATGCATAAGAGGTGATTGGAAATATCATGGCTTCAGTTAGGCACACCTTAGTCTTCAAGGAGATATATTTGGTCTTCAGCACTTGAAAAAAGTCTTTTGCAGCATATTTGCTCAATGCAATACATTGTCTGATGTCTTGACTGTTGCTTCCATTGGTATGATTGTAGAACCAAGTAAGATGAAATTCTTGACAACTTCAATCATTTCTCCATCCACTGTGAAGCTGCTTATTGGACCAGTTATGAGGATTGTTGTTTTCTTTATACGGAGGTGTAATCCATACTGTACACTGCAGTCTTTAATCTTCATCAGTAAGTGCTTCAAGTCATTCTCACTTTCAGCAAGCAAAGTTGTGTCATCAGTTGTATCACAGGTTGTTAATGAGTCTTCCTCCAATCCTGATGCCATGTTCTTCTTCATATAATCCAGCTTCTTGGATTATTTACTTGGCATACAAGTTGAATAACAAGTGAAAGGATACAACCTTGACACAATTCCTTCTTGATTTCAAACCATGAGGTATCTCCTTGTTCAGTTCAAATTACAGCCTCCTGGTCTATGTACAAGTTCCACATAAGTACAATCAAGTGTTCTGGAATTCCCACTCTTCTCAATATTATCCACAATTTATTATGATCCACACAATCAAATGCTTTTTGCATAGTCAGTAAACATTCTTCTGGTCTTCTTTGTTTTCAGCTAAGATTCATCTGACATCAGCAATGATATCCCTCATTCCACATCCTCTTCTGAATCCAGCCTGCCCTCTGGAAGTTCTCTGTCAATATACTGCTGCAAATGTTTTTGAATTATCTCTAGGAAGATTTTACTTGCATGTAATATTGATAATATTGTTCGATAATTTCCACATTCTGTGGGATCACCTTTCTTTGGAATGGATACAAATATGAATCTCTTCCAGTCAGTTGGCCAGGTAGCTGTCTTCCAAATCTCTTGGCATAACCAAGTGAGTGCCTCCAGTGGGGCATCCGATTGTTGAAACATCTCAGTGGGTATTCTGTCAATTCCTGGAGCCTTGATCTTTATCAATTCCTTCAGTGTGTTTTGACTTCTTCCTTCAATACCATTGGTTCTTGAACATATGTACCTCCTGAAATAGATGAACATCAAGCAATTCTTTTTGGTACAGTGACTCTGTGTATTCCTTCCATCTTCTTTAGATGCTTTCTGCATCATTCTATATTTGCCCCATAGAATCTTACAATATTGCAACTCGAGGCTTAAAATTTTTTCTCAGTTCTTTCAGCTTGAGAAATGCCGAGTGTGTTCTTCCCTTTTGGTTTTCTAACTCCAAGTCTTTGCACATTTCATTATAGTAATTGGCTTTGTCTGCTTGAGCTGCTCTTTGAAATCTTCCCGTTTGGCTCTTTTATCTTGTCATTTCCTCCATTTGCTTTAGATACTCTGCACTCATGGGCAAGTTTCAGAGTCTCTTCTGACATCCATTTTGGTCTTTTCTTCCTTTATTGTCTTTTTAATGACCTCTTGCTTTTTTCATGCATGATGTTCTTGATGTCATTCCACAATTCCTCTGGTTTTTGGTTACTGGTGGTCAATACATCAAATTTATTCTTTAAATGGTCTCTAAATTCAGGAAGGATATTATCAAGGTCATATTTTGGCTCTCGTGGACTTGTTTTGTCTTCAATTTCAACTTGAATGTGCATATGAGCAATTGATGGTCTGTTCTACAATCAGCTCCTAGCCTGGTTTTGGCTGAAGATAATTTAATTTCTCCATCACCTCTTGCCACAGATATAGTCAATCTGATTCCTGTGTATTCCATCTGGTGAAGTCTACTTGTATAGTCATCACTTATGTTGTTGAAAAAAGGTATTTGCAATGAATAAGTCATTGGTCTTGCAAAATTTGATCATGTGACCTCCATCATTATTTCTATCACCAACGCCACATTTTCCAACTACTGGTGACTCTTCTTTGTTTCCAACTTTTGCATTCCAGTCATCAGTGATAATCAGCACATCTTGAATGCATGTTTGGTCAATTTCAGACTGCAGAAGTTGGTAGAAATCTTCAATTTCCTCATCTTTGGCTTTGGTGGTTGGTGCATAAATTTGAATAATAGTAGTATTAACTGGTCTTTCTTGGTGGTGTATGGAT